GCAAGGTGTCACTGCTCAGTGGGCGTTCATGAAGACCACGTCACGACCACGCGAGGCATCAAACAAGGCTGTACGGTCGCGCCGTATTTGTTTGTGGCACACACAATTGCTATCATCGACACACCAGCGGAGCGCCTAGGCTGGGACTGGGTAACGCAGCTGTTCACTTTTTACGCCGACGACGCCTTAGCTGCATGGACGTTAAAAAGCGCCGAAGACCTTCTGGGTGCCATTAGCGGCATCCAAAAAGTCGTGCAAACCTTTAACGACCACGGTATGACTCTCAGCGCAACCAAATCGGTCGTGCTGTGTCACGCCAAGGGAGCAGATGCCATTAGGATTTTGCAGAAACTTAAAGTCTTCAAGGATAGACTCCCACACCTTGCCTTCATGCAACACGGCGAGCAGATTCTGATCCCCCTCAGGAAAACACATCAGTACCTTGGTACCGTCATTTCCTATAGAGATGCCCAGGAGAAAACTGTCCAGCTACGTATGCGTAAGGCGAGGGGTCAATATAGCCAGCTTCGCAAAGCCATCAACTCTAGACGCGTAACGCACAACCGTCCCAGGTACCAAATCTGGAGAGCCGGGGTGTGGAGCTCAGCAGCGCACGGGCTACTGGCGGTGGGTGTTAGACCCACAGGACGCAAGCATCTTCGTGCAATGGCTGCCAGACAGATGCGGGCTATTGCCAAAAAGCCGGCGCATCTTACCCTAGTGACCAATGAACAGATCCAGAAGCATCTCAATGCTGAGGACCCCCTACAGGCGCTCGCTCACCAAGGCCAGAGAATGCATGACGCACTTGAGACAGTTGCAGCAGAGTGCCCCAGCGACATTAGGGCCCTTCCACAGGTCCGGGCGCAGCTCGCGCTGGCTATCAACTCACTCCATTCGATGAATGCAGGTGAGCAGCTTCCTGAAGATAAGGAGTCAGACCCTTATACCTGTCCGCGTTGCAGTCAGCAATTTCGCACTATCACTAGCCTCCGACAGCATAAGGCATGGAAGCACCCAGAAGATAAGCCAGAACTGCTCAATTTTGATCCGGCAAACCACGCACTGAATGGTCTGCCCCAGTGTGCCTTCTGTAAATTCAAATACGGGGCATGGATTGGGCTTAAAGCACATATTGAAAAAGGATACTGCCCTGTTCTTTATCCGGAATGCAGTACTCAGGGAGCCGCGGTCGGCCCCGAAGCAGATACTAGCGCCAATCCAAAAGCTCCAGAGGAGGCCACTGCAAATGAGCCGCCTCCCATAGCCCAAAAGCTGGTTCTTGATGTAGCTCGGCAACAAGGCTGGAAAAGTCTGCTAGATGCCGATGTTGTGTCGTCCCTCAAGCAACACTGCTGTGTTTGCAAGCGATGGATCGCCGATCCCACGGCTCTGAAGCGACACATAGTTAGGGCCCACAAGGACGTGTGGGCAGTCACCGCCAACGGCAAACTTGAGGAGCGATGTGCACAGGTCAAGCCCCGACTCCTCCGAAATGGCATCTGCCCGTGGTGTGACAGGTCCTCCCCCTCCAGACATTACTTCCAATGCAATGTGATCTTCCAATGTGCCCGATAGGACTACACTGTGAACATGACGACGGAAGTGGTGAGCGTCTTCGGCAACCTACTACCAGGGCTAGCGACGAACATGAGAGAGACCTCGAAGCAGCCGAGAGAAATGGACCGGGAGACCGAGAACGCACCGAACAAGCGACCCAAAGCGGCCCGGCGAGGACAGCGGGGAGGCCGGCGGCAAATTGCAGACGAGAACCTGAACTCGGTGGTGACGCTCCTGGCAAATCTGTCGTTGCAGCAGGAGGACGCCCTGAACCGTCTACGCCTGGACACATCCTTCACTTTCCACCTCCAGCAACAAGGCCCAGGAACCATATTGCTGCCGCTTTTCAAGGCGGGGCAGGAATGGCAACAAAAACAGAAGAAAGGAGAGAACGTCCCCCCGATGAGAATCGTTGCGCTGGGCCTCCTGCTGAAAGAGGTCGTGGCAAGAGTCCAACTGATGGTGGGAGATCCCACGGCCGTGGAGAATGCGATGAAGCATCAGTGGCTCGACCAGCAGAAGCGCTTCGTGTATCAGGAGTGGAACTCGGCCACCAAACAGGTGGAGCCGTCGGCGACAGCCAAGAGCCTGAAGGTGGAAGAGGCGACGGAGCTCATCAACCAGGTCGCCGAGCTGTGTCTTCCGGATCTGGTCACCAGGTTCTGCGCCCAAAGGCGTCCCAAGCAAGAGCCCCAGGAAGGCGACAAAGCAGTGTTCCTCATCGAAGTAGCCATGCGAGATCCGAGAGCAAACATCCTGCATCAGAAACTGCGACAGTTGGCCAACTGCGCGGTGTGGAATGTGGTGGGAGCGCAACTGCAGCCGCCAAACCAGCAACGCCACGGACTGGCAATGGCACTGCAAAAGGCCCTGGAAAACATCTGAGCGCTGCAGGAAGTGCACGGCCACCTGCTGGTGTGCCGAGTGTCTCTCGCCTCAAGCTTAAGAATAGTGGCAACACTTGCTACATCAACTCCGTCATTACTGCCACCCTGTGGCAAGCACAGCTCAGGCCGGGGAGCCGCATACCTGATGCTTGGCAGAAGGCGCTTGCCAAAACGCACTGGGATGCAGCCATGTTTCTCCGCATGTACATGCTAGGCTGGGCGCAGCCCAGACAGCATGACGTGAGTGAATTCATACAGTTCATCATCCCTAAGCTTGCTTGGACTGATAGCCTCGTTCACTGGGAGGCGAGAGTTGCAGTTGAGGAGGGATGCACTACTGAAATCAGGGAGCCCGCTGCACCATTGCTACTTCTGGCAGCACCTGGAGGTATCCAAGACGGGGAGCTGGACACCCTCATCCTTAGCTGGCGCCTGCAGGCCCAACCGCATGCGCTATGCACAGCTCCGACTCACATTTCTACCTAGATATACCACGACCAATGGTGTCACGAGGAAGACCCGTGTGCCTCTTGCATTCCACAATCGCTGTGTCCACCTGCCGATCTTCAGAAATGAAAGCAGCATAGCGTGTGATTGGCTTGCCTATGACCTCATTTCCATCATTGTGCATCTGGGTGAAACAGTTCTCACAGGGCACTACAGAACCGTTGGCTTGATACCGGGCAGGACAGATGCCTGGTACATGGACGACGGTGTCGCATCGGAAAGGCTTGAAACCTTAAGCCCCGAAATCCAGTCCAACTGTTATGTGCTTGGCTGCATCCGCAGGCCCCCTGCTGGGGAAGGCGGATCGGCCTGACGATGAGAGCTTATTTTTCTCACAAAAGTGGGGGTGCACCCCCATCTAGGGTGCACGGGGGGACAGGCTTGCAACCCTGTCTGAATCTTTGTCTCTGTTCCTATGTACAGGGAAGGCACATGTGAAGCCGACCTTTCGGCCACAGAACCATGATACCGGCATTTCATGTCCGGGTCGCCCTGCTACGGAGTCTTGAGCGATGCGAAAATGAGATAGCTACACTCTCCCCGAGTGTTTTTGTGCTCTTCTTCTTTAGTGTACCGAGTCCTATTCTCAACCATGCCACCATATGCAGTCATGCGTTGCTCCATCAGCACGGGGGTGCCGCTCCCTCATCGGCCCCAGGACATTCGCGGCACAAATGTGCCCACACTGTTTAGCCCTGTGAGTGAGCGAACTGTGAGACCGGCCGTAGAATAGTATCCCTTGTACATACACCGTCCGTTTGAGTTTGTGAGCACGCGCTTCTTTCTTGTTCACGGTAGGTCCAGGTAGGCCCTGTTGCGCTTGAGACCGTTTTGCCTGCAGTCTAGTTGAACTCCGGTTCCTGCGGGACGTCTCTTGCTGTCCATACCCGAAGCTGTTAGCCGCCGCCACAGAGCGGCCGTGACATATGTCATGAACAACAGCTAGCTAGTAGGTCAGACCAGACCGCTGCGGAATCGAGTTCGAGTTCGAGTAGGGCAATACTACAATTTCTTGGCCTCTTGGCAACCATCCCCAAATATCTCCCAACTCATCCAGTCGCGCGTGGTTTGCAAGAAGCTTGCGCATGCAAGTGTTGCAGTGCTGGCTGCAGTTTGTGAAGTTGCACAGCAGGCTGAAAACTAGATCCAACATTGCCGACAGCGTTTCAGCTGTAGCCAACACCGAACCCTTCCGAATAGGATTGCCATAAAGTAGACAGTCCTAACGCCCGAGAGGCCCAAAAACCTTGAAAGCCCAAACCACACCAAGTCTAACCATAACTTGCAATCGCCCTGCGAGACAGGGTGTTTAGGGTTTAGGGTTTAGGGTTTAGGCGCCTGTTTGTCTCTCCCTGTGTCCATCTTCCCATCGACGAACCGGTGCCTCAAGATTTGGGGAGACATCGCTACTTTCGCAGCCCATACCGGCTTCCAACATTTGCCACAACTCCGGCCTTTACATGGCAGGCTCAGGTCCATCTTTGACCTGAAGTCATCGGACGTGTGGGATTGTCCGCGCAGCCGATGTAATCGACAGCATGTTTTGATGTCCTGTCCATCTGAGTCGCGGTCGCTTTTGACGAGAATGGGCCCAAATGGTAGCAGTCGGTTCGGTACGAACCTTCCACATCTTGCACTGTTGGTCTATCGGTCCGTCGAATGAAACGGCCTTCAATGCCACCGATGCTGCAAAGGGTAGAGCATGCAGGTTCTACGCGCACGTCTATGTTACCCGTATGCCATCTGGTCTTAGACAACGTCTGAGTTTAGGACTTCGCCCCACTTTGCTCACCCGGAGATATTTTCCACCTTCTGTTTGTTTGAAGTTTCCTTCTGTTGACTCCCTCACCGATCGCCTGGGAAAGGTAGATCGCATGTGTGTCTCCTGAGGTTTCTAACGACACGAAATGGTGACACACAAGTCTGTTCGTTACAAAAACTTAGATTGTTGGTTTAGCGGGCCGATGTTGAAGCAAACAGCGCGAAACAACGTGCCAGTGCCGCGCTATTTTTTTGAAATAACGTTTGTTGTTTACCTGTATTGAGGCGAGTGCTCCACTCATGACGCCTTCGCCGACTGGCCAGTCGATGTTTGGGGAATCGAGGCACGGCGGGTGGTTCGCACTGTTGAGGCCTGATCAAGCAGGGGTTTAGGGTTTAGGGTTTAGGGATGTCAGACGTAGCTGTAGTAGAGGTTGAAAGGGCACGAAGAGCACGTCAAGGCAGCTCCAAAGCCATGTCATTCAAAGAAACCTGAGAAACGCTCGGGCAGTTTTGCGCTGTGTTTGGGGCAACTGCAGCGCCTTTGTCTTGTCCATCCTTCGAGCTCAGACTATCTCAGGCTGTGGGTCGAGTTTCTTATGCTTTGTCGGAAAGGGTTTCAGGGTGCTCAAGAATTAGGGGAACTTGGGGATATATGGTTGCGCCCGAGGGCCCTGTCCTCTCCCACCCACTGAAGGTCCCCCCCTGTGGTGTGGTTGTGGGTTGGTTGAATTAGGGATTGTACAGGGTTTTAGGGGTTTGAGGGTGTTCAGGGTTTAGGGTTTAGGGTGCAGGGGGAGACCGTATACCATGGGGCCGCGTGTACCATGGGGGAGGGGGGGGGGGGCGCACAGTGCACAACCAGATAGTCGTGGCAAAAAGGGGCTGAATTCAATGGTCAGATGGTGCTTTGAGGTATCAGCTCTTTGGGGGGCCACCGCCTCCTATCCAAGAAGTCGGAGGCTTACTTGACCTGGGGTCAAGGATGGCTCGAGCTTGCTCTGGCTTGCTTCGGAGTTGGGTTTGCACCCTAACCCTAAACCCTAAACCCTAAGCGCTAAACCCTAAACCCTAAACCCTAAACCCTAGGTCTAGCCTGCTCTGGCTTGCTTCGGAGTTGGGCTTGCGGACTGCTCCGAGGCACTTGGACCACCTCCGGGCCCTGAGCTGGGTGCAGCCTTCAGCATTCACACTGCGAAGTGTTGGCCAGACACCCCCTGGTTCGTTTAGGGTTTAGGGTTTAGGGTTTAGGGTTTAAGGTTTAGGGTTAGGGTTTAGGGATTAGGGTTTAGGGTTTAGGGTTTAGGGCCCCTGGTTCTTAGTAGGGAATGAGGGAATTAGGCCCTACATATGCCCCTTAAGGCATGATATAGGGTACCTCATTCCCGCATTCCCTACTAAGAACCAGCCAGGAGACTGCATGCCTTAAGTCATATTAGGGCTCTTATTGTTTTTCAAGGAATGTATGGAAGATACCTTAAATCATCTTAGGGTTCCGATTACATTTTCAGGCATATATGAAGGGTACCTTAAGTCATAAATTAGGGTTCCGATGACACATTTTAAGGCATGTTCCTGAGTTCAGGGGTTTTGGAGTCTCTGGGTAGCTAGCTGAGCTTCCATTTGCAGACCTCGCATGGCCAGGCAGCTTTCATGCCTCACCACTGCTTTACCCGAAGCCGAGTTTTCCAATCCCCCTTTCCCTCCCAAGATGCGATATCATGAGGACCTGACGCGCCCATACTCTAGGCCAAATCGAGAAAGTTGCAGTCTATTCTTAAACTCTTTAGGTTCCACTGCATGCATCCATGCATGTCGGCACATGCAGCTTTCTCAAGGCCAGCCTTGTCGGCAGGGTGCTCCCACCCCGGGCCTTGGTGACCCTTCGGACCCGCATCGGCTGCTGCTATCAGTGCCTCCGCCTAGTCAGGCCTGGCAGCTGTGGGATCGCGCGTCTGACCATAAACATGAATTCGCGCCGGTTTCTCTGCATGAGTCACCGTTGTAAGGTATTGCGGGTCTAGCATATGAGACTCAGTGTTTCGACAGCATTCACAACATTCCCAATCCCTCCGGAGGGAATGCACCACCAGCAAACCCTGCTGCAAGAGTTTTGACGGTGTTTAATTAAATGTGTGTATTGTTTCGTCATGTATGCTTGCTGTACCCGGCATCTTTCTGCAGGCACCTCCTCCGCAACATCATCTTCCGCCATTGTATGCTGGAGGTTTCGGCGGAGCCCCACCCTATTACGATTACAACTTCCTTGGACCCCCAGGCACAGAATCCGTAGGCTCTTACCCTAGCTGGCCCTGGCTGTTCACCCCTGAATCTGCAGGAGCACGAATATCCGAGCCTTTTGGAGTTCAAGACTTTGCTCGCCGGAATTCGCTGGAAAAAGACAGTGATGACGACGACGACTCAGAGGCCGAGCGACGACAGGCGCATGGGCCATGCAGGGCTTGTAGTATCTTGTGGTGGTTGTCGAAAGTACACGTAGAAATTTCACGAGACTACACTCTGCACAGATTGGCTATTGGGGTCAGAGGCTTCTGCACCGACCCTGAGAGTTTTGCGAGCGTTTGACCTCTCGAAGCTCAAGCCGCATGCCACAGGCGTTGCTGGCAGCTGCCGGCATGACCGTCGAGAATGCACCCAAGCCGCCACCTGGGGCGGAACACCCGCCCGCGGCTCAACGCTCTTTTGGTACTGACGGGTTGAATGCATCTGAGGATATGATCTCATTGTTTCATGGATTTCATGGGGACAGCAGGCCGTGGCCGTCCCATCTGCTTTTTGCATGAAGGTCACTGGGATCAGCTTTTCACGACAATGGGAGCTGCAAAAGATGCTGCTTCTTTCCGCGAAACAGGCCTTGGCTTGACTGTGCGCTGTCATTCACGCCCTTTTTGCTCGCAGTTGCGTAGTGCTGTTTTGCCTATGCAGGTGTCTGAATGGGTACGAATGTGAATTTTGCCACTACGAGCACGAGAAGCGGAAGCGAAAAAACAAGAAGAATAAGAAGAAAAAGGCCGGATGGATGCCTACAAGTCTGATGGTATTGTGTCAAGACATTCATGATATCACCATATCACTAGATTGCCTACATTCTGTTGTTATAGTTGTTATTCTATGATCATATGACTAGATAGATTTATTGTTTGCTGTTTGGCAGCCCATTGGGAGCATGTGACAGGGCTTGCAACAGGCAGTTCGCCTTAGTCTGAGCTGTTCCGACATCCGGAGGCTGGCGAACATGCGGAGGACTACTACTCGGCCGATGCTGTTTCACACATGTGGCATCCTCAGAACGACCTAAGCGCACATTGCTTCTCTGGGGCTCGTGCTTGTCATCTGTGTGCTTCTGCCCCCAAGCCCAGGCCTGACCTTGGTTGGCAGCCGGCACCGGCACACCATGCGCCACCCTTGCCCTTGCCGCACCCGCAAGCCGTGCCACCTGAATATCCCGAGTATGTGGATGGACCGCTGACATACCAGTGGACCGATGGCACGGTTGGGCAAACCCCTCCGCCCCCAATCATCCCAGGCTATGAACGTCTGGTGACTGTTGCAGTCCAAAGGGTGCAAAGAGCCACGGCGCCTCATAGGGAAGGACCTGCGCTCGCCACAAATCCGCCACCGAACCCCAACCAGTATGATGCCTATGACCGCACCAGCCCCGCTTATCATCCCTACGACGTTCCAGCAGCCCGGCCAGCATACCGTCACCCGCACCCTGCACACCACCCGCACACCCTGCCACCTCCACATGCGCATCCACATGCCCCACACCCATTGCCGGTACCGGTGCATGGCCTGGACCCGGCTGCAGCGCCCTGGCACCCCCCACCATTCCCATCAGCAGCAAGCAATGGCGCGGTGAGCCCCGACATCATGTCCTACCCCCCACCATCGCAGCCCCTTGAAGATCCCAGGCCGCTGGCCACCATTGAGGAGGGCATCCAAGATCCAAGGCCCTTCGACTTGCTGACCGCCCCAGGCCCACAGACCCCGCAGCCTGGAAAGCCCAGCGACTCGCCCAGCGAAAAGCCCAGCGACAAACCCACAAAGCCCCTCGTGGCGCCCATCACACCTATCAAGGTGGAGAAAGTCGCTGGCCAGGGAGATGGCCCCAATATGCCTCCACCTGACCAGTCGCCGAAACTGAGCAACGACTTAATGGCATCCCTTCAGCAGGATCCGCCCCCACCTGATGAGAGCCCCACGTGAGGGCCAGCGTGGCTGAGTCGGAGTTTAGTCTGATGTTGTGATATGTTGTGTACTGACTTGCTTCTGTTGGCTCGCAGCCCCTGGCAGGCACGTGGGATTTTGAAGATTTCCGTTTAGTTGCATCCAGTGCGCGGGGTGTGATACTTGTTCTGGATCCCAAGGCCAGGCACAGACCCTGTTAGCGGTTAGGTCCTGTTCTTCAGCCATGCTGCATGGCTTCCTACCTGCAGCAGCAGCAGCATTCTCATTGTAACTCGAAGAAGCTCTGCAATGTGGATTCAAGGCGTTCCCTATGTAGAAGCAGGGTTTGTGCTCAGCTAGAAAGGATGAACAGCCAGCTTCGCGCATCGCCACCTCTGAGAGTAGATCCGTGTCAGGTCTTCCGGTTTGGGGGCATGATGTCGAGAATCGGGACAGGTTTGCGTTCCAGTGGCTATGTGGCAAGCACGGAGCGAGTCATGCTGAATATGCTGAAAAGAATCACCCGTCCACGCTCCTGGACGAGTTCGTTGACGCACTGCGCTCCCTGCTGACACAGCTTGATTTCAAGTTTGCTCGCAAACTAGCATATCTGGCGCCGCATTTAGGGGTGCTGTTTGTAGGAAGAAACAAAGGACACAGCACATACGATCTACAAACCACCCCTCCTTTCTGTCGGCCACTGAAGTTGAATGGAAGCATCTTGCTGGCATGATGCACAACACACAACTTGCTCCAGAGTCAGCTTGCGACTCCAAGCGGCAAGATCCGCAGACGGATCGCGATGATCGCGATGACCGCATCATGTTGTACTGACGAATGGTTACCCAGCCTCTTGGCCAATGGGAGCCAGTGCCGCGAGCTCAAAGCTGTCATGTTGCAAACAGCAGTAGACGCAATGCTCTGACTTGTTCTCGTGCTTGGCTGTTGATGCAAGTTGCCAGAGCTTCTGTCCAACATCTCGAGGAGCACCTTTTTTGCATGCAAGGTGTCGCTGTGGCCCTCTGGGTCACTGGAATGGGAGTGTCATGCCGTCCTGATTTGCGATGTTGGGCATAGCAAATTGCTAGCGCAAGGCTGGCACGTGGTTAGCCCCGTTTGTGGACCTTCTCGAACTCGAACCTTTTGGAGACCATTTGGGAAACGTGAAGATGTCAGGTGCCGAGCCAGCTCGGGGCCAGTGCATGGCTCAGCGCGGGCACTCAGAAGAGAGCAGTCAACTCACCATGAGGCATACTTCATGCGAGGGTTTGGCAGTTTTGGGGGTGTCGTCGGGATCTGTGGAGAAGGGATGTTGGTCACCATGCAACCGCCATTCCCCCTTCCTACCCACCATTCCCAACAACACTCAGTACCTACCATTTCCTCCAGACCATCGTGACCCACCTTCCGTTGCCACCATTGCCCCGCGACTCCCACCATTCACACCACCACACCCCACCCAGGCCCACTGTTGCCCACCATTGTTCGCCATTACCCAGCAATCCCCCTGCACCGAAAGCCGAGCAGAACAGCCCGACACTGCCCCGGGCTAGGAAAAAAACACCTGAGATGAATCGCCCTCGGATTAAGATGGGACTCCCGAGACTAGACAAGGGAACCCCCGGCAGTATGAACATTACAACCTTCGGGCGGCGAGGCCCGCACACAACACCTATCATGCCCTTTGTTGAGTGAGGCAGGGTTTAGGGTTTAGGGTTTAGGGTTTAGGGTGGTTGTGAATCTCTATGTTTCGCGTGCTTTTGGCAGTTCGCTGGGAGGCAAGCCTGGCTAGGCCCATCGGGGGTGTTAGGCCCTAGACTCGTCTGCCCGCGTGTTGTGAGAGCCCAGCTCAAGAGTGAGGCATCCTTCTTGATAGGGTTGCGAGCCTCAGCACGCATCTGCAAGGCAAGACTCACGCAAGCGGTCAGGAGTGAATGTGACCAAAAGAGCGAATGAATGACTTGAATGAATCAGTGAGTGAATGGTGCTGACGTGTCTTAAAGCTGCCTTAGAGCTAGAGCTCTGGTCCTGCAATGTCCGCCTTCCACCTTTCGCCTGCATGTCGGGGGTTGGCAGACGCACCTCGAAGACTCATTGGATCCAGGATTGGTCTCCAGCTGGAATTGTCGACGAAAATGAACCTTACAATGCTTATGGTTCATATACTTTCATAGAGTTATAGAAGAATGCATCATATGGTACAGTGCGGCGATTTTCTATTCTTCAACGGTGTTCATTTCGCCCCTAGACGTGGCCCTGGCCCACTTCAATCTCTCGCCTTTTGGCACGTGCCTGGTGCTAATGTCTCACGTGGTCCCCCGGCAAGGCTACCAAATACTGACTGAAGCGACATTTCGCTCCTGGAGCCAGGGAAGCCTGGGTTCGTTCTCACCTGCACATCCCCTCGCCTGGATTGCCGGCTTTCGTGTCCCAGCTGTGGATTGCGCACCTGCCCAAGGTTTAGCGTCTGCGGGCCGCTGCTGGGATTTTGCCCGCAAGATTCCGTCGGCAGCCCACACCGGCTTCCAGAGCTATTCCGAAGAGGTTTAGGGTCGGCTCGTGATCTCCGAGCCAATTTAGCGAAAAATGCGAGTGAAGTGGACATGGCCGGTTCCTGCATGGTTTGGAGAAGAGAACAACGAGGCCGCACTTGTATGCCGCCGCCTTCACGATCCATCAGGCAGGGCATCCATCGACTCTTGACACATTTTTCGTTTGAATTTGTGTTGGTGTTTGTGTTTGTGTTTGTGGTTGTGTGTGTGTGTGCGCGCGCGTTCGTTTGTACATGTTCGTTTGCGTGAGCTCGTGTGCGTTGCAGGGATTGCAGGAGGAGCAGACAGAGGCCAACGGACAGTACACAATCCTCAGTGGTCATTCTGCATCTTCTGATGCAGTCAGTTTCAAGTAGTTATATCGATGCACCAATTCGGTTCCCAACCTTCCGTACGTCAGGACTCGGACCTCATTGCCAGCTGTGTCCCCGGAGTCTTCACTGCTCTTACCGCCCGGAGACTGAGAAAGAGCATTTGGGTACATTGTTAAGACAGCCTGTCATCATCGAGACAGTCCTCTTGCATCCTCGGATTTTCAAGCAACCCATGCCTCTCTCAGGTGGTACTTCTGCTGTCTTGGCCTCGGAGCAAAGCAAGAAAGACTGATGTGTGTGTGTGTGTGTGTGCAATGTGCATCGGTGTGTGGGCACGTGGATGTTGTGGGTGTGGGTGTGGGTGTTCGCGTGTGCACGTGTGTGTGAGCGGGTATGCTCAGGTGCATCCACACGGGTGCGTGTGGGTATACGTGTTGTGCGCGGTTGCGCATGAGTGTGCACAGGAGTGCGCAAGAAATCCAGGTGTGAGCGGGCACATGCGCGGGTAAGTGCATGTGTGCGGGTGTGTACGGATGCGCATGGCGCACGTGCGTGCGTGTGTGCACGTGTGCACGTTTGCACGTGTGTGCGCATGCTTGTGTGTGGGCATTGTGCTGCGTCTGCACCTTGGCATTTGCGTGTGCGTGCGAGATTGCGCGTCCGTGTGCGCGTTCGCACGTGCGCGCGGGCGGGCGGGTGTTTGTGTGTGTGTGTGTGTGTGTGGGGAACATCCTAGCATATGTACGAATGCCGCCACTCCCATGGGCTTCAGAAGCATCAAAAACATCATAGTTACATTTCAGAGGCACAGGCCCATGATGGTACCTGTGCCAACGAATCCCTCCACTATGGTGGAAGACTGGTGTGTACCTGCAAAAATTACCTTGTGACTCGTGACAGCATGACAGTAGAAGCTGTGCTGGTACCATACTGTGTTGCCTTCGCTTTAAGCTTGCTTCTCGGCTCTAAGTGGGTGGGGTGGGTTTTTGTGCGCAATAGGGCGCCGGTCATTTCCATGATCCGTAGCTCTTTGTCGTTGCATTGGAATCCAAGTGTGTGTCAAAGCAAGTAAGTAAGTAAGCAAGCAAGTAAATAAGTAAGCAGTTAAGCAAGTATGCAAGTAAGTAAGCGTGTGTGTGTGTGTGCGCGCGCGCGAGAGTGCGTGTGTTCCTCCGTGCGTGCGTGGGTGAGGTGTGTGTCGGGGATTTCTTCTGTGTTCATCACAGGTGGGAGGTGTGTGTGTGTGTGTGTGTCGGGGATATTTCATGTTGAGCACAGGTGGGAAGCCCACGACGCTCCAGACTCGCTGCTTGACACGGTGCCCGCATCGGATTCAAGTCTTCTTTCGATGCGTTGTGTTTTGCACTTTTGGATTGCTTCTAGACGGGTTTCGTTTTCAGGCCGGCAAGTAGGGTCTCTGTCGAAAGGCCTTGCACACCTTGCTCACACTCGAGAGCTCGATGGTGGCCCCGGCGATGGGGGCACTGGGAGTTGCTGGCGTGCTGGACGGGATGCGAAAGTGGGCACCGATCGAAGTTAAATGCGCTTGGGTCGATGATAGACAGAGGATTCGAATGCGCGGTGCTTTCCTGCAAACCGATTGGTTTAAAAATTGTAGCTGGTCTCTCCATATAGGCACAATGCTCCGCATCTCCATGAGGACTGCTCCGTCTACGGTCGAGGCGAAGGCTGGTGGCCCGGCGCGTGGCTCCCATGGGACCAGGGATGAACACCGCAGCCCAGTTGGATCAGTGTTGAACTACTGTATACTACTGTATACTCACTCCGTTCAGGTGTCGAGGGTCGAATCGCTATGGCCGAAAACTATAGTTGCACTTACATTTGCCTCTCTGCGTGAAATTCCTCAGGTCCTGGATTTGCGCTGGCTTCGGCGTTTGACCGGCCGGCTCTCGCGGCAACTTATCTTGAAATGAATGACAGGCCAGTGAGTTGTTTGAGCAGAGTGCAGAGTGGCGGGAACAATCCCTTCCCCTGACTATTAACCCCCCTTGCACCTAATTTCGAATTCTCCCACTATAGTTATATTCGAGTGTATGGGAAGAATATTGGGGGTAGGGAATAGGTGAATATTAGGGGGAGGGGGTTACAGTAGCGAAGCAATACGAAACACAATTTTCAAAACATACGCGAACCACGAGCCGTTTCACATGATGCAATTGAACGACGAGGTGCGACAAGATTCGTGACATTTCGCGCGCGACACACGACCAATGAGACAGAGGGAGGGCAGGACAGACTTCGTGGGATGTGACACGGCATGAAGGAAGCTTTGGGCAGCGAGACGTGGTCAAGTGTATGCAGATGCTACGCACAGTCTGAGGGTGCACGCGGGTGCAAGACGAGGCACATGCAGGTAGAGAGGCCAGTGAAAGGGGCATTTGGTGGGAACAAACAGAAGGCAAGCACATCCCAAGGGTAGTAAAGACTTGGTGGAAGAGTACAGCCTGAAAAGAGGGGGCCCTATCCAGAAACAGTGAGCAGCCGAAATCCCTTATTCCTGAAAGGGTCGGGTGCAGCAAGTGGGGCAACGGTGGGCCAGATGTTGCACGAGAAAAGGCTTCCCTCCCAAACAGGGTCCTTGGTTACGTGGTCATCATCGGGATGGTGCGGCCCGAGAGTCCAAGAGCAATGACGGTCGTGAGGATCATGCCCCTGACGCGCCCGATCCCCTGTGACCCTTGATGAGTTGATGCCGAACCAGGGGGGGGGGCTTGCAAACGTGCAAGCCCCACCCACACACACACACAACTCACACGCACACGCACACGCACACGCACACGCACGCGCAAGCACACGCACCCGCACCGCGCACACGCACACGCACACGAACACGCACACACACACACACACACACACACA